GCTTTGAGAGTGGAGCTGGCGAAGCTGGAGGCGGAGAGGGCGGTGCTGGAGAAGAAGCTGGAGGAAACCGAGCGGTCTATCGTGGTTGAGCATAAGCGGGGTTTCCTCAAGGCAGCTCGCCAGGCGAGGCTTCTTGTCCCGGGGTTCGACTTCTCTGCCATGCATGTGGAGAAAGTGGTTCGCTTTAGGAAACTGGTAAAGGAGGACGACCTCGAGGACAACTCTAGTGAGAATGCCTCCGCCTAGGCCATTTTTGTAATAATTTAGTTTAATTTTCTCTGCTGTGCTTTGTTTTCCTTTTTGAATTCAGGTGTTGAACTCAGTAAACATGGTTGTGTATATATATTTTTTGGTTGTTCACCTCTGCGCTTTTGGGGTTTGTTTGGATTTCTAATTTCCGTGTTCGCGCTTCAGGCTTGATTTTATGTTTGTGTGTTTTGAGAGATACGTTCGGTATCTTTTGTGTACTTTCGGGGCTCAAATTTGGCCTGATGTGACTGATGTGAATAAATTCGTCCTTTAGAATGTTGTAAATTGTACCAAAGTTCGAACTTGACCTTGGCTTTCGTGAGAGATAGATCGTGTTGGGGTTCAAACTCGACCTCGATCTGTCGTAAGGTAACATTATTTATTCAGGTTCGAACTCGACCTTGAGGCACTGATACCGAGGTTCAAACTCGACCTCGAGCTGTTGATACCGAGGTTCGAACTCGACCTCGAGCTGTTGATACCAAGGTTCAAACTCGACCTCGAGATGTTAATACCGAGGTTCGAACTTGATAGACCATGGGCCAAGGGCCTAGTCACTAGAGCTATGGCTAGAAGAATCCAAGAAGAGTTGGACCTTGAGAAGACTAGTGAACTTGCCAAGCCCAAGGTATTCTTCACTTAGAATGCTCTATCATGAAGAGAAGACCTAGTTTTACTTGTATATATTGTATAGTTTTCAAATAGTCTCTTATATAGGTTAATTTTGCCTTTGTATTTGTGAGGCACTTTATTTGTTTTTGCTAGTGTTTGTATATTGATTTCAAGGTAGGTTACTTGGAGATTTTAACTCCATTTAACCTCCCTAGTTGATACATTCATTTTGTATTTTTTTAGTAGGGAAAAGGGGGTGACATTTAGCAATGCTTGAGGGTGTGATTAGTAATTGGGCTAGAACTGGGCCTAGGCAAAATTTTGCATATTGGACTCATTTTGCTCTTAATTTTTCATAGATTTGATTTAGCTAGGTCTCATCATCATATGACGAACCTAACTAAATCAAATCAAGGTTTTTCAAATTAAATCATGGAGTCAAAATGCATCCAAGGCCGCCTAGCTCTTTCTTCCTCCTTGGCCGAAAATTGCTTGTCTCACTTCAAAGGTTTGAAGCTTGCCTTGCAAGCTTCTAAACCTTTGTAAGGTTAGCTTACCTTACCATGGTTCTTAAGTGAACCATGGTCAAGGTTGGCTTCTCCTACAAGCTAGCAAAACCGTGGGAGTTAACTACACCTTACCATGGTTCCTAGTGAACCATGGTTAAGGTTAGCTTCTCCTAGAAGCAACCTCTACCCTATATATTTGTAATTACCTCTCTTGTACTCACTTTTGAACAATTGAGAAATAAAGCTTCAGAATTTCTCTCTCAAGAGTCCTCTCAAAAACCGTAGAGAAACCTTTCTCTCTAAGGTTTCACCAAAGGTTCTTCAACCTTTCCTTGGTTCCTTAAGCTTCTACCTCAAGCTAAGGAAAACCGAACCACTTCAAGGCCTCTTCTCCATTGAAGAACACTTCAAGGAGCTTCAAAGAGTCATTGGAGTCTTCACCTCAAGAAAATTCACGGTCCATAGCATGGAATTCTTGAAGGAACCTCAATCTCCTCCAAGAGCTTCCATCAGAACTTAACCTCGAGCTGTTGATACCGAGGTTCGAACTCGACCTCGAGTTCTAGTGTGATATGCTTATCATCAAGGGTCAGACTCGACCTCGAACCTTAGTATAATATGAATAACATCAAGGTTCGCACTCGACCATGGGTTTTTGTGTAGCCTATTCAAGGTTCGTATTCGACCTTGATTGACAGCGAGAATTTTACTAAATTTCGAACTCGACCTCGGTGTGATGCATAAAACATAAAACATGAGTGGAACAGAATGAGTCATTTTATTGATTGTGTAAGTGTGCCTCGTTAAAAACCCTCTCAGCCAAAACCTATTTTTCTATTTTTTGGGATAAAAGACTGAGGTGGGAAAAGAGTGCACAGCTCATTCGTACAAAATTAGCTGAAATAAAACTTGAGATGCGTAGCATTCCAAGTTCGCGGTATAGGTTTTTCGCTTAGCTCTTCTAGTCAGTACGCTCCATTTTCCAAGTCTTCTGTAACTCGAAATGGGCCACCCCAAGTGGGTGCAAGCTTCCCATCTGACGTGTCTTTTTGTGCTTCGCCTAGCAATTGCCATACTAAGTCGCCAACTCGAAAAGAGCGAGGTTGCACTCGCGTGTTGTATCTTCGGGAAGCTTGGAGTTTGCAGGCTTCTTCGTGGATTTGAGCTTCGTCTCTGAGCTCATCAACGAAGTCGAGGTCGGCTGCTAACTCTCGAGCGTTTTGCTCGCTGTTGAAAACTTGGCGTCGGTGGGATGTCTCTCTGAATTCCACTAGGATCATTGCGTTAGCTCCGTAGGTCAGCCTATAAGGTGTCTCTTGCGTGGTTGACTGGGGGGTGCAATGATACACCCAGAGGATGCTGGGAAGCTCGTCGGCCCACTGTCCTTTGGCGTTCCCAAGCCGCTTCTTAAGTTCCCGGAGGATGACCTTGTTGGCTGCTTCGGCTTGGCCATTGGTCTGGGGGTGTTCTACCGAGGTTGGGAGATGCTTGATACTGAGCTCGCGGAGGAAGTCCTCGAATCCCTGTGCGATGAATTGTCGGCCGTTGTCAGTAACGAGGGTGTGAGGGATTCTAAATCTGCAAACAATACTCCTCCAGGTGAACCTTTGCACATTTTTGGTGGTGATTTTTGCGAGTGGGCATGCCTTGATCCACTTGGTGAAGTAGTCGATCGCCACTAGGAGGAACTTGAGCTGACCTTTCGCAGGGGGGAATGGCCTGAGGATGTCCATTCCCCACTGGGAGAAAGGCCATGCCGACATCATATGGTGAAGAGCTTCGGGCGGTTACCGGTGTGTTGCCGAACTGTTTGCATTCTTTACATTTTTGTACGTAGTCCTGACAATCCGATTTCAGAGTGGGCCAGTAGTATCCAGCTCGGAGTACTCTGGTCGCCATTGAGCGTGCTCCGGAATGCATGCCACATATGCCCCGGTGAATTTCATCAATAACATAGGCTACCTGAGGCGTGGTCAAGCACTTGAGCAGTGGGGTGGAAATGCCACGCTTGAATAGCTCATCGCCGATAATTACGAACTTGGCCGATCTCATCCTCATCTTCCGAGCTTTGTCCTTATTTCCTGGTTATTTTGCAGGTTTTGAAGAGATTTTCGAAAGTATGGGGTTTGTTGCTGAGCTCGCGCTAAGCGCAGTTCTTCGCACTGGGCGCGTGGCCACCTGAGGGCAGCATTTAGGCAAGCTGCTGGGCGCAAAGATGTGTGCGCCGGGCGTGCTTGAGGATGTTAGCCTCTGGATGGCCCACGCCGGGCGGGACTTGAACCGCGTTAGGCGCGATATTAGTTGTGGCTTGTTTTTGGGCTTCTAGCATGGCGCTGAGCGCGATCTTGGTTGCGCTGGGCGCGGGGACTCCTTGGGAGTCTCTGCCATGGGGGGCGTCAGGCGCAATTTAAATTGCGCTAGGCGCGAGACCTTGGTAGGTCTCTGCCTTCCTCGCGCTGGGCGTGGGTTTGGGCACGCTGGGCGCGTGAGACTCCATGGAGTCTCTACCTGGCATGCGCTGGGCGCAATTGGTATTGCGCCAGGCACGGGTGAGCCTTGGGCTCTCTGGCTGGGTCCCGTCGGGCACGGGCATGCTTGCGCTGGGCGCGTTGGCCCCCTGGTGCTCTTTGGTTGTACCGCGCTCGACGCAACCATGAGGACGTCGAGCGCGGAGATGAGATTTTACTATATGCTGGTTAATGTTGTTTTATGCTGAGTTGAGTTGAAATGGATGAATATAATGTGATCGCTAGAAGATAATGTTGTTGATGATGTTGAACTGTATCAGATGAATATTGTTGTAAAGATGTGTTGATGTGTTGTAAGATGATGTGTTGTGCTGTAAAGTTGTGTTGTGTTGTATGTTGGCTGAGATGCTGTAGGCCGTGATAGCTGAGTTGTTGTAGGCCGTAATGGATGAGTTGCTGTAGGCCGTAATGGCTGAGTTGTTGTAGGCCGTAATGGCTGAGTTGTTGTAAGCCGAAAGGCTGAGTTGTTGTAGGCCGTAAGGCTGAGTTGTTGTAGGCCGTAAGGCTGATTTGTTGTATAAGATCTCTGAGTTGATATGCGTGACGACGCATTGTGTGCTTATTGCTGATTATGTTGTACAACATATAGCAAAATTTAAGTAATATGTATATTCTAGACACTATATGTATGCACTTATTCCTTTCTGTCCGGTTTTCAGGTGTACTGGGTCGTTACAACGATCAGTAGAATTAAAGACTCATAAAAAAATTTAAAAAAATTAATTTAATTATAAAATGAATAATCCAAATTATATTTATAAAATAAAAAGTAAGATAAAATTATAGAGATTAAAATTATAAAATTTTAATAATGTTATAAAACATTAAAAAGAAAAGAATTAATAAATAATAGAAATAAAAAATTATTAAAATTATAATATAGAAATTCAAAAATTTAAGACAAAAAGACAAAAATATACTTAAAAATAAGTATATATTTTCTGATATATCATGTAGGAAAATATACATAAAAAAGAAGAAAATATAGGAAAGCCCAAAGTTACATCATACGAATAATGTTTTGTTATAAGAGAAAAACATGGCTTTGAGTGGGATAAGCCTTGGTTGATGTATAATATGAATTGTTTAAATAGTTTAAGATTGTGTGATCATAGTTTTTGAATTGTCATATTTCTTTGCTTATTTTGATGCAGCAACATTGTTTGCCGGGTAATTGAAGCTGAGGGGGTTTTAGGTCCTTTAGTTAGTATTTTGAAAAGCTCAGGGATAGCTGGAACCATTGTGGAAAAGGTATTATTATTTATTTTATGTTAATTAATTATGGCAAGGTTTCAGAAAATTAAAAAGGATAAGAGCTGAACAAGGTTTAACTGATGATATGATGTACCTCTACAGTCTTTGAACATACTTGCTCGGATACTAGACCCCAGTAAAGAAATGCAATTGAAGGTACGTATTGCACATCTTGCAGATAACTTAGAGCTGATTTTTTTCTCATTGATTGTCAAGTACATTGATTCTTTTCAGTTTTATGATGGACCAGCTGATGGATCTGAAAAGGCATTTGGTGGAGTAAAAAGTGATAGGTTTTCAACCGGGGATAGTAGCACCAAACAAGTGGTATTAAAATCATACACAAGGTTAGCTAAAAGGACCTGAACCAGAGTACCTTGAAGGGCCCTGGATTTGTTGAAGTTTAATTATTGAGCTCCAATAGATCTTATTGTTTGATCAAGCAAATCTATGAGTGCTCTACACAGTGGAAGTTAGCATTGACTTTTTATTTGGTAAATCTTTCAGGAATGATATACTGGATTCTGTTTTCATTGCACACCTTGTTGAGATTCTGAAGTCCTCTCCTCCCAGTTTACAAGAAAAAGCTGCATCTGTGCTTGAGTTTGTGGCATTGACTGACCCAACTCTGGCCCTAAGTACACTTTCCGATATTGAATCTGGTCTCAATTCTGTTTTTCAGCAAAAAATTTTGAAAATTTCAGGTAAAGCTGTTATGTAATTTGTGATTTTTTTTAAGTGGTAATTATTTTCATTTGTTTGGTTTGTTTTTTATTTTTGGGTGTGGATGCATAATAAGTACATCAAAATGACTAAACACCATTATTTGGGTTTCAATAGATATGTGGTTTTTGAGAGATGTGAAGGCAGGGCAAGAGATGGAATTGACTCTCCATTTAACTGCTTTTATTATTTAATTATCTCCAACAATAACTCGTGTTTGATCAGCTGGTGAATTACCAAGGCCATTTGCCATTGTTTGTTGATTCAAATTGGCATCCAATTACGGTGACCTTCTGGGAAGTTTCCCACAGATATATTCGTGGGTAAATCTGTGGGTAATTACCCACGAATAAATCCGTGGGAAAATCCGTCGGAAAGTTACCCACGGATAAAAATCCTTCAGTAAATATTTCAGACGAGCAATTTACTAACGGATTAGTGTCCGTCGGTAATCCGTTGGAAATGCACTATTACCCACGGATTTTTGGCATTTCCCACGGATTCTGGCCGTGTGTAATAGCGAATTTTCTTGTAGTGTAAGATTACATTTATTTCTACTATGTCTTTCATATCAAAATTAGATGCAAAAAAATATTTAGTTCTTAAAACTATATCAATGCATGTAACAAAAATCAACATGACATCCACATATAGACATACTATAGCACAATCATCATTACATGTTTTCTGTACATGTGTCTATCAACAACAGTACTAGTTTTAAAACCATCACTTAGTACAACATTATTAAACTTTTCAAGCCATTGTTTTGGTGTTTGTTTTAGATGATAACGAGATTTAAGAAGTTTTCTCGCTTTTTTTATCACTAGGTGTAACACCTCATTTTACATAAAATGTAATATAGGTATTTTATTAAAAATTTTGGTATTTTATTTTTATATATGAGAAGCTTATTAATGTTTAATTTATTATTAATTATTATATTTGGTAATAATTAAATATGTTAGTTTTAGTAATTATTTGTATATGAATATATTGTGAGGTTTTATAATTAAAGGTTATATTATTTAATTACTTATTAAATGAGGGAATGGATTTTTGAAATAACTATGGTTAACATTTTTAACTAAAGGGTTAAAGGCAGGGTTAAGTTTTAAAAAGAAAAGAGAACTTATCATATTTCTTTTTACATTTTTACGCTTCTTTTCACATACGCGTTTACGCTTTAAAGCTTATAGAATCTAGAGGAGGAAACTACCCTAGAGTCGATCACCCATCTTCTTTTGCTCATCGAGGTAAGGGGGTGAGAAACCTCACTCTGGGTGTGGGAATGTATATTGGGAAGTTGGATTGGCCCCCAATCCTGTCTCTATTATATGCCTATGTGTGAGGGGTTTTCCTCAAATGTGTCTTTTTCAGCTCTATGTCTCTTCAGATATTCTAATTGGTGTAATTAATATGTATGTATGAATAGTAAATTGTAGATCTCAGTGTTCCTATGGGTTCTTATGGGAAACCCTAAGGGAATGCATTGGTAGTTGTAAGAGAAGATGATTGAGAAATGTAATTGTTTGAGTAAATTGTACTATTTTTTATGTTTATTGCATGATTTAGAACACTTTTACCTATTTTATGAAGAGATTCATGATTTGGATGTAGAATGCAAAAAATCATAGATATGTAGAGTTTTGATCGTAGAAACCACGTTGAGCGTCAGTTCTGGCACTAAGCGTCAAGGTGACAAAGAGCTGGTAGTGCTCTTTATAACCCTCATGTTATGCGTGGCTCAACCAGAGAGTTCAAGTCACTCTTTAGAAGCCCTGCGTTGAGCACCCAGTTTGGGGCTAAGCGCTAGTTACCCTGTTGTGCTTTCTTTCTTCTCTATTTGATGAATTCTATTTGTGCAATGTAAATCGTATGTTACTTCTCACTTGTGATCTATGATTGGCAGTGACATGAAACTATTTTGTTATTCAATGTTAACCTTAAATGAATATATTGGATAATTATACGATGTGAGATAAATTCATAGGATTGAAACGACATGATAATGTTATATGATAATGAGACGTGATAATGTGGTATGATAATGCATAAAGTCTTGATTTACATTCATCATTTGCATAAATTTTTTAAGGGTATAATATGGAATACACCGTCAGGGAAGGCCCCCTTGTGTAAAAGCTTGGGGATTAGTCCTTGGGGATAGCTCGATTTGTAAGTCCCAGTCTTGCCCATTGTGTGCATGGGATGTATCTTGCGTGTCTTAGCTATCCCGACCAAATCCTAGTAGTATGTCCTTCTAGTGAGAGTGCGTAGAGGGTGTGACCTGGCATGTACTCTTAGACTACTCTATGTGTGTTGTTAGCAACAATGCATTGTGATGTTTTTGTTAAGTTAGACGAAGACAGAAACAATTCCTAGCAAGGTTTTGAATGAGACAAATATAATATGTATTATTATTTTTAACAAGTGTGCTAGTGTTTCATATATAAGTACAAGCAAGTTGATATGCATCCATACTAGGACAAAGAGACATGAGCCAAGCACTGGACGAAGACAGTCACAAACACAGACACAAAAGAAATAAAGGAAAAGGACATGAGTAACCAAGATGATGGACAAAATAAATAAAAATATTCTCAGAACCAAAAGACGGAGACTCGGATACAGACAAAGATAAAGAAAAATGGATTGCGTTCTGAAGACACAACGAGACGAACTACCTAGCATACATATTCTCAGAAGAACACATGAAGACATCAAAATAGAAGAAGGAAGAAAAAAAAAATGGGCGAGCGCTTATCTACAAATCAAAACTGCGTGTGTGAGAGCAAGTACACCTACCAGTCAACAAAGGACAACCAGTCAGCAAAGGACAACACCTCCATCGCTGCAATATCAAGAAAGTACAGAGATATCTTAATGCCAGTCAAAAAAACAAACATACAATACAAAAGATCTCATGAAGCGTAGATTCAGCAAGCAAACATTTAATGCAAAATCAAAGGCATTAAATGCAACAATCCATGAAGATTGTACAAACTAGATGAGAAAATCAAATGATGGCTAGTCAAGCATAAAAATGAAGTCTGCTCACGAACGGAAGAGGACTACCACCAGAATAAGACACTGAAGTATCAAATGAAGCCTATGAGGAATAGTTAAGACAAGTCTGTCTATAATGTTGACCAGACCATATAAGACGCTAAAGCACCAACGTCAAAATACTCAGATGGAGAACAAGACGTGAGACACATGAGATTAATAGATGCAGACGAAGACTATTGTGCAAGCACTTATCAAGTCTCAAAAGATTACTCAAAGCATTGTCTACGATCACATACGTGTTTTCAACGTAAAACGTGTGATCTAAATGAAGGAACAAAGAAGAAGAGAAGCACGCAAAAGTAGAGCATGCATGTGTCAGAAAAAGTATTACTTTTTCAAAAAAGGACAACGGCTATATTGCAGCATGACCATAAAAAGACAAATAATTTCTAGGTCTTAGATAAAGTCAAACACTGCTGGCAACAAGATAGAGAAGAATACACGCAATGTCTAAGAACAAGAAGCAACATTTAATGCAAGACCAAATGCATTAAATGAAAGGATCAAACTAGTCATGAACGACTACATTAGCTTCAACGGACATATGCAACGGGAAAATTTTACAGGCCTATAAGTATGCAATAACCTCAAACCGAAAAGGATGGCGTTGCCCTGGGCTCTGAATGTTAGGGACCAAAAGTAATAATAAGCCCAAAGGAAAAACAGAGAGATTAGAGATCAGTTCTTCATAGTCAAACATACAATGTATCATTGTATTCGTCTCTGTAGTTTAAGGGGTTTCAAGTGTATCTTAGGAAGGAAACCTTAGTGAGTGTAGTAATCGTATATATCCTCTTTGAAAAAGAGTAAATCACACACTCAGAATCTCTGTAAGACTAAGGTAGTGAAACCTTAGTGAGTGTAGATCATATATGTATCCTCTCTGTGAGAATAACCCAAAACACGCAAACCCGACTACACATCTATCATGTGTAAAGCCTGAAGAGGCTAGGAAAAGAATACTTGTAAATCCCAGAGGGGCTTGTCAAAGGATACTCACTTCTAGCCAGAAGTGGCTGATAAGAAAATACTAGCATTGGTGAGTGAAGCCGACAAGCCAGGAGTGGTTGAGAATACTTGGAGAACCAGAAGTGGTTTAAGAATACTAGCGCTGGTGAGTGAAGCTAGTGGGCTAGGAGTGGTCTAGAATACTTGGAGAACCAGAAGTAGTTTAAGAATACTAGCGCTGGTGAGTGAAGCTGGCAGGCCAAGAGTGGTCGAGAATACTTGGAGAACCAGAAGTGGTTTAAGAATACTAGAATTGGTGAGTGAAGCCCAGGAGTGGACGATAATACTCAATGTTCTTCATTTTGATATCTAGTGGAACCCTTCAATTGAAGGAGACTGGACGTAGCTCAGTTGAGCGAACCAGTATAAAATGATTGCATTACTTTTCCTGTTTAATTAGGAACAAATCTTCCTTACTGAGTAAATCTTTGTGAAAAACTACGTCCAATATTTACATACAGTTAAAACCAATTTTCAGAAGAAGACGCAAGTTCGTTTAATAAATGTATTACACTGAAAAGCTTTATCTATTGTTTGTCCTTAAACGAAACTATCTGGAAAAGAAAAATGTAAGAACTTCAATAATTATCATTATGAAACATTTTTCTTAGCATACGATAAACCCTTAAGATGCATTGACCTTATGTTAAACAACTTCTGCATAACAGTCTAACGATTAAAAGTGCATCGGACGAAGAACATTACTCATGCAAAAATGATTTGAAAATTCCTTCGTACACACACACACATATTCAAACCCTCTTCTATGTGTTTTTCTACTAACTTCAATTTTACCGGCACCACATGCATGATAACATGTAGTCCGTGTCCATTGCATATACATTTTAATGTTATGTGTTAATTGATTTTGATGTCATGGATGAATGAAGTGTGATATTGTTACTAAAAGTGTGATATCCTTATTAACTTGTGTATGTTATGTATGTGTATATATATATATATATATATATATATATATATATATATATACATGTCTTGTTTGTGTTTGGCTATCCGATGTTCATTCCTACACCGTGAGCCAGGGTGAGATGTTTCTCACCCCCTTTCTTTTTGTGTTGTTTCCCTTGGTTACTATGTAGGTGATTATCAGCATAAGGCTGAGGATGTTGGTGATGAAGCTTAGGATTTAGTATTGGGCTTTGCTTTGATAGGACATGTGACA